TAATAATGTATCATGGTCTGGATAGTTTTCACTGTGTCTTTATTTTCTTTCCTTTTAACTTTCACAATCCACATTATCAATATGTATATCATCATTTATAATAGTATAGAATATTATAAAGATATACTATAAAAAGACACATTTCACTTACCAAAACATTCTTTACTTTAAAAAATGTTCTTGCTTTCAATGTATTTTTTTTCAAAATATTCTTTTCAAAAGCATTTAACACTTCCATTTAAAAAAAAAAATTGTATATCAAAGCATTGATATTTTATTTTTTGAAATCATTTTGCCATGTACCAAAAGTGGGAAAAATTCCAACACGTTCTCACCTCAATCACACGTAGGTTAGCTAGTCATCTTCTAGTTATTTTCCTTAGAACAACACTCTCAAACATCACTTATATAACAGGTAGGTGAAGGTCATCAAAATAACCAAAATACCCCTCATAGGTCCCATTACACTACTAGAAAATAGACCTTTAATGACACGTAAATTACGACAAGCGCGGATATAGGATACGCAAATGTGGGCGTCGTTTAAAAAAGTCATCTCTTATAAAGTTTGAAGGATACAGAACACGCATTTTTGCGTGCCCTAAAATTAAATGTCGTTTTATAATTTTTTAGGTAAGGCACGTCTTTTTTTCGTTAATAGCCAGCAGCGGGAAAAAAATCCCAAAAAACTTAAAAAACCTGCGTCATGTTCTTCTCTACCCTAAACTTGCTTTCCATCTTTCACCGGTCTTCACAAAATCAACAAGGGGTAACCACCCCTCGTCCACCTCCATCGCCTCCAACTGTCACCGCCACTTTTAGTTCCTCTCCCCCTCCATGGCTGCCATGCATTGTAATTTCATTTCTTTTTTGTGGTGCAGGAAACGATCATTGAGTTTCTGTTGCAAACGATTATAAACTTTAGGGAGCAAAGTGCCATCAATACTTTCAATGCTAATATTTACCCCATTTTGACCAGCGGTCGTCACAAAAATTTCCCTCATCATCGAATTTATTTCTGCAACGCCTCTGAGAAACCCTAATTCACTTGTTGTAAGTTCTCTTCACCAGAAGTATCTTAAATCTTATCAAGAAACAGTTTGTTGAACGACTTTGTTTGTTAATGTTAGGTCAACTGATGGTTAGCATTTAGCCTTCAGTATTCGGCAAGATCAGGTATTGGCCAACATACAGTTGGTGTTTCAAAATGAGGCACCATGATTATAGCTCCTTTAGCAACTAAAAAATAGTTATATCTAGTCTGTTATTTAGATTGGATGTTATGTGTGGGTGAATGATTCGACTCTGTTGGTTTGTACGATCCCAACATCCAGAGTAAAGCCACCAAAGAAACTGTAAGTCCCCTCTGGTCCTAAAATCCAATCCAATGAGCAGAAAACTATTGTTCGAGTTCGAACCTTCCAGTATCTTCTTAAAGATGAATACAGTGAAGATCTGTTTGAGTATTATGCCACCTCACAACTTCTTTCTGTTCCAGTATCTTCTTAGATGAGAGTGTGAAATTATTTGGGGAGCCAGCTCTATACATATCACTTGATCCCTCCCCTGATCAGAAATATGTTTTACTTACTTCGCTTCATAGACCCTTCATTTTTACTATCCTATGTGGAAGATTTCCCAAAAAGATTGATTTGCGGTACGCTGCTGATGGAGACACAAGATGGAGGTGATGCCAAAGGAGAAGTTTCTCCTCGTGATATAGTTTACACACAAGCTGCTGAAGGTGAAAAAGACCCAAACATCTTTCACATGCTTTATCTTCGCTATGGGTAAGTTTTTCTTTTTTATTTTCCCTCGGCATAAGTTATATTTTTTTTTCAATATCATCAGAGGAATAAGTTGGCGTGATGATTCACTTGCATTGATATAGAAGATGTGTACTCTGACCCATGTTGCGGAGAACTCCTGATGCGACTTATGTTATTTCCAAGTTCGAGAAGGAGGATAAACAAGCGACATACATGTTGCTAAATGTGATGGGTTTTGAGCATTCTAACACTCCTATGGTGTGCATGAAACCATATGTGCATTGGATATATGTTTCCACTATTATACATGAAAATATTCAAAATTCCAAAGCATCATCCTAACTAGCATACAATGGAGCAACTATACTACGAAAGTTTAGTTAGATGACATACCTTTTGATGGAGCTTGAAGTCTTGAACCTTTAAGATGTTAGTGACCCAAGTGTTGCACCTCAAATGGTTCAACAACACCACCAACAATTGGAATAACTTGAGAAGAAGGTTACTTTGGTTCACTCTAGAAATCGGTTTTGCCCTCCTATATACACACACTAGTAGTCCCACTTCATGAACCATGGGATCCTTTATATAGTTTGGCTCATTAGGGTTACACCATGTAACTCATGACTTTCCATTTCATTCATGATCCATAGATTTTAACCTCCATGGAGTATCCATGGGTTACCACATTGGTTAAGCCCAACATGAAGGACAATGGATCACAAGCCTACATATATAAGAATGAAAGATTTACATAATCAATTCCCATATATTTAATTAGTCTCTTTTGATCACAAAATTAATTCCAAATTAATTCTTGATCAATACTAAATAAATAATAAGATTTCATATTAATATATTAGAACTTATAATATATTAATATAAATCATAAATAACCTTTTCTCACTTGTCTATCTGATTTTTCCGATGCCATGCAACCCATATGGACCATGCTACTCTCGGGTCGAGTACATACAAATAATAGTTATGGGCTTAGACATCTAATCCAACAGTCTCCCACTTGGATAAGTCCAAAACTATTTAATTTAAGTATGACTTCAAGATCCCGACCAGCAAGCATAGCTATTAAAGTCGTTGTCTAATGTAACAGCCCGAAATCCACGTACCTTTAATTAGCCCTTCATCTTTTTATATGTTGTCATTTTTGGGCTTTTGTGTTGGGCGAGTACGCTGGGTGTACAAGGAGTACGCTGCGCGTACTCGCGCTGCTCATTTAAACACATCATCCCCCGGGTACGCTGGGCGTACCCAAGGTTACACTGGGCGTAACCGATCCAGACCCAAAAACCCTAATTTGGTGGTTGGCTATAAAAGGAATGAGATGGATTGGTTCCTCAGCCACCATCCTTCAGAAAGAAACCCTAAGAGAGTTGTTCCTTCGTTCATAGCTGGTTTGTGAGTGTTCTAAGCTTTGCGGTGTCAATTCAAGGTAGCAAAAGAGAAGACGAGTCCATTGTGGAGGCTAGAAGTTGGTGTTCAAGTGTAGATCCATGTTTAGCAAAGGTTGGAGCTTCTTTCTAAGGTAAAAAGTTCAGATCTTGTCTTGTAGTTCTTGTGGTATGCTTTATGGACCATTTTCTAGGGTTTTGGTCCCAAAGATGGAGACTTTATGAGCAAGTAGCCTCCATTGGCTTAGATCCATCATATTTCTGGTCTATTTGAGTTGTAGATTCATAAAAATTTAATCTTGGACGTGAATGATTAACCATGCATGAGATCTAGATCTTTTCAGTTGAAATGGAAGGGTATTAAGGAGTGTAGGAGCCTTTACAGCCATGCCAAGGCTTAAAGGTTTCGACTTTATGGGAAATGAGGCTTAAAGTGAGTCGGATCTAAAAGTTGAAGAAGTGTCTTAACCATTTAAGACCAGAAATGAAGAATGGCTGAATCTGGGTGTTACGCTGGGTGTAACTCCCAGTACGCGCAGCGTAATGGGTGAAGACCCCGACTGTGGATCAGCGATGTACGCCCCGCGTACATGAGTCTGTACGCCCCGTGTACTGTGAATGTTGACTTTTGTTGACTTTTAGGGTTTTGGTCAACATGTGGACTTTGAGTCAAGGAAGGGTAAAATGGTCTTTTACCCCTCTGAGGAATGTTAATAAGGGTGAAGTCTAGTTGTGGAAGTCTATATTAATTAAATGATATTTCGTTATGATTAGGCGGGGTTGGGATTCGGAGATAGCAAGCATGTGAGATTCTAGACTTTACACGAGGTGAGTTTTCTCACTATACTGTACCCGGAAGGGTTTTATTGTGTGACCGGAAGGTCGGATATGTTATGAGTTGTATGCATTGTATATGATAAGTTAACTGTTTGTATGTGCTATGTATGTTATGCTTGATATGGGCCGGAAGGCATTATGTTATGGGCCGGAAGGCATATATGTTATGAGCCGGAAGGCTTTGTGATGTAGACCGTAAGGTTGACGCAGGTAGGACCGAAAGGTTTACCGAGTCGGGACAGAAGTCCCCTGAGACACACGAACCGGAAGGTCAGGGCCCGGAAGGGCATATGTGTGTAAGTAGTATTTCGGGGAACTCACTAAGCATTTATGCTTACAGTTGTTGTGTTATGTGTTTCAGGTACTAGCGAGGACCGTGGGAATGCGTCGGCGTGATCGGTACACACTGATGGAAGAATTGTTTTATGATCTTGGGGTGTATTTTGTTACGTTGACATTTGTTATACATGTGATTTCAGAATATTAAATGATGGTTTATGTTGTTTGAAAAATGAAAAATTGTTTTGAAAATTCACGTTGTTACAAGTTGGTAGCAGAGCCTTGGTTTGAGGGATTCGGATGCACCTTCGGGCTTAACTGAACTTAAACCGAGGATTTGAGAAAAAATTTCAATTAATAAAGGCATAAAATTTTTATAAGAGATTTTGTAATAACCAAAGGAGAAGCAGTGTGTACGGTCAGCCAGCGCCCGAATGGTAAAATCCCCAAAAATACCTTTACAATATGTGTTATGAGATATGTTATGATATGTTATGCATGCTAGAGTAGACTAGGTATTCATATTAGGACTAGAGTGGCCTGGTTTATGATGCCTTAGTCTAGGGGAACCTGCTGCTATGAGATGCTTTGAGAGCGAGTAGGTAGCCAGTGCATAGCAAGAATAGAGTACTCGTGATCCGAGGTCCAGGGAGGAGGACTTGGGGTGAATGCTGATGCGGTGTAGTCGGTAGTATAGGGCCCGTACTACTGAAGACACCAAATCAGTGGGCAAACCAAGTAAGAATCCTTTGGGTATCGCAGGCCGAGTAGGGTTGTGTTATCGATTGCGAGTATGCTCGATTGAGTCTTTGATATTTTTATGTTGTATTTCAGAGGCATTATGGTTGGGCCACGCCACAGACCTGGGACGAGCGGTGAGAGTGACGAGGAGCTTCGTCAGATGATCCACGATGAGGTGGCTGCGGCAATCCGGGCCGAGATTCCAGAGATGTTTGGGTCTATCAAGACCACACTGATGGAGACTTTCGATGAGCGGTATGCCGCGGTGACTGAGGCCACAGCCGCTGCAGCTACCGTAGTTGTGGCTGCTGCCAGACCACAGGGAGGTGACTCATTGCTATTCCGGGAGTTCAGCAACACGAAGCCACCCGAATTTGATGGGATGCCGAATCCGATCGCTGCGATGAGATGGATTGCTGACATTGAGGGATGCTTCTACACATGTTCATGTCCGGAGCATCTGAGGGTACGGTTCGCTTTGAACCAGCTCCGCCTGGGAGAAAAGGATTGGTGGAAGTTCGTGACGGCGAACTTCACTCTTGCGGAGATTTCAGCCGTAACTTGGGAGAGATTTACTACTATGTTCAGAGACGAGTATGTTCCCCCGGTGGAGAGGGAACAGTTGATTCAAAAGTTCTTGACCCTCAAGCAGGGTAACGATTCAGTTACTGTGATCACCCGGAAGTTTCATGAGAGGGCGATGTTCTGCCCTGAGCAGGTGTCCACTGAGCAGGCTTGGATGAGCCGATATTTGGGTATACTGAGGAGGGACATTCGGGAGTTCGTATCGAACTCGACATATCGGATATTTGCTGAGCTCCAGGCAAGTTCCCTGAAGAGGGAGATCGAGTTGGAGACTCGGGCCAGGGAGGAGGCCGAGTCTCAGCGGGTGGATCGGTGGACGACTCAGTACCAGTCGGCAGCCAAGCGGACCAAGTCCGCCGAAACGAGGACGGGAGGTCTGAAGGGCCGCACTTGCGGAAAGTGCGACAAGGGTCATGAGGGGGCCTATCGATCAGGTGCTTTCTACAAATGTAGCAAGGAGGGGCACATCGCTAGGGATTGCCCCAAGGGATTTATAGTTTGCTTCCATTGCAACCAGACCAGCCATTAGAAGGCCGAGTGTCCTCAGCTTCACCAAGGATTAGCACAGGGATTTGCATCTACTGCTAGGGTTACCGAGATTCGGCCGGCGAAGGCCGAGGCTCCGAAGGCTCGTGGGAGAGCTTTTCAATTGACTGCGGAGGAGGTCCGCACGGTGCCCGATGTCGTGGCTGGTATGTATTCTTTCGTGTATTTACTTTTATGCTGAGATATTGTGCTTATATTATGATATGTGTAGGTACTTTTCTTGTGAATTATGTACTTGCCTTGGTATTATTTGAATCGGGTGCTAGTCGGTCTTTTGTATCTTTGGCTTTTAGTCAGCACATCGGTATTGATCGGGAGGTGATGAGTCGACCTCTGAGGGTTTCCATAGCTGATGAGAAAGCGGTATGCGCCACCGACGTGATTCGAGGATGTGTGCTCGAGATTTTTGGTGTCAAGTTCCTTATAGATCTGGTTCTTATAGCGATGGGAGATGTCTGTGTCATCATGGGTATGGACTGGTTGAGTAAGTTTGGAGCAATCATTGACTGCGAGAGACAGTTGGTGACCATACGAGACCCTAGTGGGGGAGTGCTTACTGTGTATGGCGAGGGGACCCGGTGTGCGTTAGCGTTTTGTTCGGCTGCCAGGGCGAGACAGAGTTTGCAGC